TCCTCATAGGATAGGGGGAGAAATAGGATGAAAGCAAGGCAAAGACGTTTAAGGAATGGGGTAAATAGTTATTATGTGCAACTCATAGGCATTCCAGAAGCAGAAAGTTGGGTGAATTTTGGAAAAATAACAGTCAAATGAGAATGTCTGGTAATTTCTCCAAATTCCTGGAAGCCATGACATTCTGGTTTCAAGAAGCCATGTGAACACATTGTAGTAAAACTATGATGTAAGTATAGAGAGCATAATAGCAGACAAAAGGGCATGATGCCTAAAAACAGAGAACCAAATAGGATGACAGCAGCCCTCTTTTCATCAAGAAATGGACACCAAAAGCAAGCGCTGAGGTATCATTTGATGGGCAGGGACACTGACCACCTGGAACCTCCCTCAAGGACAGACAGACCCTCTGCTTCAGCTGCTTAGAGTGCCGTCAGCTGGCAGTCCTCAGTCATTAACCTTATCAGTCGTTACCTCAGCTACAGAGAGCGGCCTTGCCTGAGCTCAGGGATTTGCCCTAATAGCCACGCCCAAGGTCTGATCAACAAGAGTTGATTAATATATATCTGGTCCCTTCCTCAGCTATTAATCCTGATTAAATTCCCTATACACTGAATGCAGTGTACATCTCAATGCAGCTACCTTAAGACCTTAACTCCAAAATACAGACACATGAGAAAAGTCATAACTCCTAGTGTTTCCAACAAATGAAACCATATTAAAGCAATGTCTCAGGAATGTAATTTAGGAAGATGGAAGATGATCTGAGATGAAACAAAAAAGATAATAGTAGAATGAATTAGTCAATATTATAATATAATACAATATACATATATTGTATATACAATATACAATATAATACAAACAGTGCCTACATAAAACAATGGGAATCATAATTACAGTAACTTTGATGATCCGAGTACACAAGCCATAACTAAATACTAACAAGTACGCATCATTTGGACAAGGGGAGTGCCCAAAGAGAGGAGCTCCTACCCCACTCTTCACTGGCTCAGCCAACGCAGGATGTGTAACCACTGTGCCACAGCCCCTGGCTGGAAAGATGACCCAGGACAACCCAGGAGGAGCATTTCTGGGATATCACCTGTGGAGTTAGAGGAAGAACTTGGTGTGGTCCTTTCCCTGGCTTTTGTTTGCTTGCTAGCTTCTTTGTAATTGTGATGACTTAATGAGAGGAGTTCAGAGAGAGGAGTTCAGAGAAAATGACATGTCTCTTGCATCTTTCATCAGACTAAGAAAAGATTTGATTGCTAATATCTCATGTGTGACTTTTGTATCCTTATTTGTAAATGGGAGTGTTCAGAAATCTGTTTAGTAAGGTTTCTTCACTCCTTTAATCATCATTTTGTTTTCTAGTAATAAAAATGACTTATTTTTCCTTACCTTTTTAAAAAATATTTTATTTTTATTTATTTATTTGACAGACAGAGATCACAAGTAGCCATAGAGGTAGGTGGAGAGAGAGAGAGAGAGAGAGGAGGAAGCAGGCTCCCTGCTAAGCAGAGAGCCCGTTGCGGGGCTATATCCCAGGACCTGGGATCATGACCTGAGCCGAAGGCAGAGGCTTTAACCCACTGAGCCACCCAGGCGCCCCATATTTTTCCTTTCATAATCAGGTTCCTTTTTATTAACAATAGCATCTGCTGTTCCTTAAAGGTCTTGCAGAAAACAACCTTGGAAGCCTTGCCATCTGGACAATAGTTCATTGATTGCCTGAATTTCTTTGGTGCTTCTTATCTCCTTTTGGAGGGGTCAATTTCTGTAATTGATTTTTTCATGAATACACGCAAAGTAGTTGTTTGCATGCATTTCCGAGATTATTGAAAAAATATGCTTTCAATTTTAAAATATTTTCCATTTAAAATTTTCTTTCTCTATTGTGGATATTTGGAAAATTGGGGGTAAATTTTATATTTTTCAACCATCAGCACTTATATTTGTTCAGCAGTTCCACTGTGTGGGTATTTTTTAGGACCTCAGTATCTTTTTATTTTAATTTTTAAATTTTTTTATTAACATATAATGCATTATTAGCCCCAGGGGTACAGGTCAGTGAATCGCCAGGTTTACACACTTCACCTCACTCACCATAGCACATGCCTTCCCCAATGTCCATAACCCAATCACCCTCTCCCTACCCTCCTCCCTGCCCCCTGGCAACCCTCAGTTTGTTTTGTGAGATTAAGAGTCTTTTATGGTTTGTCTCCCTCCCGATCCCATCTTGTTTCATTTATTCTTTTCCTACCCCTAAACCCCCCATGTTGCATCTCCACTTCCTCATATCAGGGAGATCATATGATAGTTGTCTTTCTCCGATTGACTTATTTTGCTAAGCATGATACCCTCTAGTTCCATCCATGTCATCACAAATGGCAAGATTTCATTTCTTTTGATGGCTGCATAGTATTCCACTATATATATATATATATATATCACTTCTTCTTTATCCATTCATGTCTTGATGGACATCTAGGTTCTTTCCATAGTTTGGCTCATGTGGACATTGCTGCTACAAACATTTGGGTGCATGTACCCCTTCAGATCACTACATTTGTATCTTTAGGGTAAATACCCAGTAGAGAACCTCAGTATCTTCAAGAAAACAATTTTCAAGTTAATAAATACCTGGTGATTTTAAAACAAATTTTTTTTATCAGTATGACTACTTCTTTGTGTGCTGTGTTTGGAGGCTGGATTTCCATGTCTCCTGCAGGCCTTGAAAAGAAGTAAGAGGAATAGCTTCACTTGTACGGGTACCTCGCTGGCCACATGAGAGAGTTCCTGTTCAAGCTATGGTGGCTTGGCTCAGGACAGCAGCCCATTCTGAGTCATAAAAGAAATGTCCCTAGATTGGCTAATGTCATTCCTCTGGAAGTATGGCCTTGGGATATGGCAGTCAGATCTTCTCAATAAGCCAAAGCTCCAAAGTTTATAATTTTGGTGCTTAGGGTGAGGGCTTTCTGAAGTTCCCCTGTTAAGACATCAATGAACTGATGTTTTGGCTGTCCTTTCTTCTGACTGAAATATTTCATAGTATTGCTGATAGAAGCAACCCGAAGCTTATATGTTGTGAGATACCAGCTCCAGTCAGTTCATCTTATGCCTAGAAATCCAGAATGGGGGAAAGAGTCTTCAGAGAGACTTATCTGTGGTAGCTGCGGGTTCCAGGCTGTTAGGACAAGGAGGAGTTTGGTGGACACTGGGAACCGACCATGTGCGGTTCCTTTTCCTCTCCTGCAGCAGCACCTGTTACGTAGGCAGGGTGTCTAACAATGATAGTAGTTCCTTGAAAAGTTAAGCAAACTGATCTTTGACCAGCCTTTGGGTCCAGCCATGTTCTGATTTGTTAGTACCAGTTTCACCACTTGTGATTTCTGGTGTCTGATTGCTTGGCAAAAAGGGTATTCAAGTGACTGTGCCAGAATGGAGGCTTACTGGGGACTCCTGGCTGCTTGGGCATCTCTCCATTCTACTCAGAGTACTAGACGTATCTTATCCCACCAGGATGGGGCCAGGAACACACATGAAACCTGTTTGAGATTTCTGGGATCTCCTGTTATCTCTTGGGGACAAACCTGAGGGTTCACAGGGCACCAGGCATTTCATCAGATCTATAGCCAATTACCTCCCAGGTTTATCTCCTCACCTCTAGCTTTGAGCAGGAAACACGGGGAAATAAAGATTCAGCTCTGGTTTATCCCATCCTGCTGGCCCTCTCTCAGCACTTTCACGGAAGACTGCCACAACAAACTATTAGGAGAGGTGTCATTAGTTCTGACCAGATTAAATCCCTCCCTCTCCTAACTGGTGCCTCTTAATGTAATGTCTTTGGGTAGAAAAAATGGAAAGAAACTGATTTCCTTTATGCCACACTTTCCTGTGTGGTACTCCCTACCTGCCAAAATAAGTAACTGAATGGAGGGGTGCCTGGGTGGCTCAGTCGGTTTTGCCTCTGGCTTTTGATTTTGGTCAGGTCATGATCTCAGGGTCATGAGCTTGAGCCCTCACAGGTTCAACGCTGGGCATGGAGGCTGCCCAAGATTCTCCCCCTCTTCCTCTGCTCCTCCTCCCCTCCCTCTCTTTAAAAAAAAGAAGGAGAAAAAGAAGAAGGAGGAAGAGGAGGAGAAGGAGAAGAAGGAGGAGGAGAAGAAGAAATTGAATAGAAAGTGAAGATGCTCAAGAAGTAGTAGCTCCGATAACAAATTTATTAGATAAGTCACCCAGTCCTTGTTTTTTTTCCCTCTCTCTCTCCATATGCTCATGAGTTTTTATCATCTCCATTTTACATTGACTGTGATTATAAGAGGAGGCCAAAACATTGATTCCAGAGTAACGTACTTCTAGCACATCCTGAAACAATGGCACTTACTGTTTATCAGAAATAGGGTAATGATGTGGAATAAAAGCTATTCCATTAAAAATACAACTCCTCCAGGATCTGTTGTTATTTCGTATTGAAAAGCTTCAGGTAAGATACACCTTCAGTGGAATGTTTGGAAAGTTTTCCTGACCAAGGTCCCAAGAAGTTTAGAGGGCACTGGATTCCCACTCTGATTATCCAATGTGATGTCAGGCTGAAGGGTATGCAATCACAGGTGACACAGCCTGGCAGAGAGCCCGCTTTCCTGCCTTGCATTTGGTCCAATCAGGTATGGAGGTTGCCCGTGACGTCAGGAAATGCAGCGACTATAAATGGGCCAGCGCCCCTCTGCAGCCGCCATTGTCCTTCTTCTCTCTCTTTTTTTTTTAAGATTTTATTTATTTATTTGAGAGAGAGAGACAGTGAGAGAGAGCATGAGTAAGGAGAAGGTCAGAGAGAGAAGCAGACTCCCCGTGGAGCTGGGAGCCCGATGTGGGACTTGATCCCGAGACTCCGGGACCATGACCTGAGCCAAAGGCAGTCGTCCAACCAACTGAGCCACCCAGGCGTCCCGCCGCCATTGTCCTTCTTTCTGAAGCATGGGAAAGGCGAGCCCTACATGGCGGAGCCAGGCTGTGAGACCTCTCGGGAGGAAAGCCTGGGCACGGAGGAGCCCACAGAAGCCGACCCGAAGAGCCCGAAGCAGAAGCTGCCAAGGGGCCAATGCCGCCGCCGCCGCCGCCGCTCCCACAACAGTTTCGCCACCTACTTCCCCAGGGTTCTGAAGCAGGTTCACGAGGGTCTGAGCCTCTCGAAGAAGGCCGTGAGCGTCTTGGATTCGTTCATCAAGGACATCTTTGAGTGCATCGCCAACGAGGTCTCTCGCCTGGCCGGCTCCACCCAGCGCACCACCATCACCTCCAGGGAGATCCAGACAGCTGCGTGCCTGCTGCTGCCCGGGGAGATTGGCAAGTTCCCCATGTGGGAGGCCAGCAAGACCATCCTCAGGTACACCTTCCGCCAGTGATCTACCTCAGGACCGCCTCACCACCTTGCAAACCAAAGGCTCTTTTCAGAGCCACCTTACTTGGCACAAAAAGACCTATAACTCTCAAGAGTGCCCAACCTACTCTAGCGTTTGGACCTGTGCCATTCTGCCCAACCTTAAAACACCTTTACCATTTATGAAACATTACCAAATGTATCAAACCTACTTTATTGTATGTCTTTAGTGCAATATATTCCCAACAAAATCATCAATTTACTTTACCTATACTGCATTCATTTGCCCGCTAAAGTGTTATTCCTGTCAGTTGTGTTACTAGATCCGCCTTTACAGTTATCTATAAGGTCAAATCTATTTTTCTAATACATTTTTAAAATGTTGTTTTATTTCTCAGTATTCCAAGATTAATTGTTTACGCACCACACCCTGTGTTCCATGCAATACGTGCCCTCCTTAATACCCACCACCAGGTTCTCCCAATCCCCACCCTCTCCCCTCCAAAACCCTCAGTTTTTTTCTCAGAGCCCAGTCTCTCATGGTTCATCTCCCGCTCTAATACATTTTTAAAACCCTTCCCACTCTCATTCGTCCATGAACATGTAGTGAAATCACACAGAATTAATTTCTTTCTTTCTTCTTTCTTTCTTTGTTTCTTTCATTCCCGTCCTTCCTTCCTCCGTCTCTCCCTCCCTCCCTCCCTCTCTCTTTCTTTTTTCTTTCTTTTTAATTTAAATTTTGGTTTACTGAACATATGGTGCAATATTGGTTTTTGGAGTAGAATTCAGTGATTCATCACTAATATACAACACCCAGTGCTTTTCACAAGAAGTACCCTCTTTAATACCCATCACCCACCTAGCCCATCCCCCACCCACCTCCCTCCATTGACCCTCAGTTTGTTCTGTATCCTCAGGAGTCTCTTATGATTTGTTTCCCTCTCTCCTTTTTTTCTTATCCCTCTTCCCATATGTTCATCTGTTTTTCTTAAATTCCACAGGAGTGAGATCATACGCTATTTGTCTTTCTCTGACGTATCTCACTTAGCATAATACACTCTGGCTCCATCCATGTCATTGCAAATGGCAAGATTTCATTTTTTTTTTTTTTGCTGACTGAATAATTGTCCATTGTGTGTGTATGTGTGTGCGTGTGTATAACCTCTTTTTTACCCATTCATCAGTCAATGGACATCTGGGTTCTCTCCATAGCTTGGATATTGTTTATAATGCTGCTATAAACACGGGTGCATGTACCCCTTTGAATCTGTATTTTTGTGTCCTCTGGGTAAATACCTAGTTTGCAACTGCTGGATCATAGGGTAGTCCTATTTTTAACTTTTTGAGGAAACTCCATTCTGTTTTCCAGAGTGGCTACACCAGTTTGCATTCCCACCTACAGGGTAAGAGGGTTCCCCTTTCTCCACATCCTCGTCAACATCTGTTGTTTCCTGTCTTATTAATTTTAGCCATTCTAACAGAGGTGAGGGGGTATCTCATGGTGGCTTTGATTTGTATTTCCCTGATGGTGAGTGATGTTGAGCGTCTTTTCATATGTTTGTTAGCCTTCTGAATGTCTTCTTTGGAAGTGTCTATTCATGTCTTCTGCCCATATCTTAACTGGATTTTTTTTCTGGGGGGTGTTGAGTTTGATAAGTTCTTTATTGATTTTGGATTCTAACCTTTTTAAAAAAAAAAAAAGATTTTATTTACCCATTTGATACAGAGCAAGAGATCACAAGTAGGCAGACAGGCAGGCAAAGAGAGAAGGGGAAGCAGGTTCCCCGCTGAGCAGAGAGGCCCATGCGAGGCTCGATCCCAGGACCCCGAGATCATGACCTGAGCTGAAGGCAGAGGCTTAACCCACTGAGCCACCCAGGCACCCCGGATTCTAACCTTTTACCAGATATGTTGTTTGCACATAGGTTCTCCCATTCACAGGCAGCCTTATAGTTTTGTTGATTGTTTTCTTGGCTGTGCAGAAGCTTTTTATCTTGATGAAGTCCCAATAGTTCATTTTTGCTTTTGCTTTTGTTTCCCTTGGCTCCAGGGACATGTCTAGTAAGCAGTTGCTATGGCTGAGGTTGGAGAGGATTCTGCCTATGCTCTCCTCTAGGATTTTGATGGTTTCCTGTCTCACATTTAGGTCATTCACCCATTTTGAATTTCCTTTTGTGTATGGTGTAAGAAAGCAGTCTAGTTTCATTCCTCTGCATGTTGCTGTCCATTTTTCCCAACACCATGTGCTGAAGAGACTGTCTTTTTCTCATTGGCTATTCTTTCCTGCTTTGCCAAGGATATAGTTGTGGTTCCTTTTCTAGGTTTTCTCTTCTATTCCATTGATCTACCTGTCTGTTTTTGTGCCAGTACCATACTGTCTTGATCACTACAGATTTGTAATGTAGTTTGAAATCTGGAATTGTGATGATGACTCCAGTTTTGCTTTTCTTTCCCAGGATTTCTTTGGCTCTTCAGGGTCTTGGTTTGTGGTTCCATACAAAATTTAAGACTTTTTGTTCTAGCTCTGTGGAAAATGCTGGTGGTATTTTGATAGGGATTGCATTAAACATGTAGACTGCTTTGGGTAGGATAGACATTTCAACAATGTTTGTTCTCTCAGTCCCTGAGCTTGGAATGTTTCTCCATTTCTTTGTGTCCTCTTCAGTTTCTTTCTAGGTGATCTGTAGTTTTCAGAGTACAGTTCTTTTACCTCTTTTGTCAGGTTTAATTGTAGGTATCTTATTGTTTTTGGTGCAATTGCAAATGGGATTGATTCCTTGATTTCTTTTTCTGCTGCTTTGTTGTTGGTGCATAGAAATGCAACAGATTTCTGTACATTGATTTTATATCCTGTGACTTTGCTGAATTCATGTATGAGTTATAACAACCTTTATGGTGGAGTTTTGGATTTTCTACATAGAGTATCATATTGTCTGCAAATAGTGAAATTTTGACTTCTTCCTTGCCAATTTGGATGCCTTTTATTTCTTTCTGCTAGCTGATTGCTGAGGCTAAGACTTCCAGTACTATGATTTTTCTTATATATTTTTTGTTTTTAGGATGTTATTTATTTATATGAGAAAGAGCAAGAGAGTACGAGATGGGGAGGGACAGAGGGAGAAGCAGAACCCCTACTGGTCAGGGAGCCTGACATGGGGCTTGATCCCAGGACCCTGGGACCTGAGCCAAAGGCAGATGCTTAACCGACTGAGCCACCCAGGTCCCTTTCCAGTACTATCTTTAATAGTAATGGTGAGGGTGGAAATCCCTGTCTTATTCTCGGTCAAGAAGGGGAAAGGCTCTCAGATTTTCCCCATTGAGGATGATATTAGCTATGGATCTTTTGTATATGGCCTTTACCGATGTTGAGGTGTGTTCCATCTATCCCTACTTTATCGATGGTTTTTATCAAGAAAGGATGCTGTCTTTTGTCACGTGCTTTTTCTGCATCTAAGGACAGGATCGTATGACTCTTATCCTTTCTTTTATTAATGCGGTGTATCATGTTGGCTGATTTGCGAATATTGAACCACCAAACCGGCAGCCCAGGAATAAATCCCACTTGATCATGGTGAATAATTCTTCTAATGTATAGTTGAATTCAATTTGCTACTATTTTATTGAGAATTTTTGCACTCTTGCACATCAGGGATATTAGCCTGTAATTCTCCTTTTTAGTTGGGGCATTGGCTTTATAATCAAAGTAATGCTGGATTCGTAGAATGAGTTTAGAAGTTTTCCTTCCATTTCTATTTTTTGGAACAATTTGAGAAGAATAGGTATTAACACTTCTTCATTTTATTTTTTTAATTGAAATTCAATTAGCCAAGTTATGGTACATCATTAGTTTCAGATTTAGTGTTCAATAATTTATCAGTGGCGTATAACATCCAGGGCTCATCACATCACTTGTCCTCCTTAATGTCCATCACCCAATTTCCCCATCCCCCACACCTCCCCTCCAGCAACCCTCAGTTTGTTTCCTATAGTTAAGAGCCTCCCATGGTTTTTCTCCCTCTCTGATGACTTTGCCTTCAGTTTTCCCTCTTTTCCCCATGGTCCTCTGTGCTGTTTCTCATATTGCACATAGAAGTGAACTCATATGATAATTCTTTCTCTGATTGACTTCTTTCACTCAGCAGAATACCCTCCAGTTCCATCCATGTCGATGTAAATGCTAAGTATCCACCTTTTCAGATGGGTGAGTAATATTCTATATATATATATATATATATATATATATATATATCTCACATCTACTTTATCCATTCATCTGTTGATGGACAAGTAGGCTCTTTCCACAATTTGGTTATTGTGGACATTGCTGCGATAAACATTGGGGTGCAATTAACTCTTCTTTAAATGTCTGGTAGAATTCCCCTGGGAAGACATCTGGCCCAGGACTTCTGCTTGTTGGGATATTTTTGATTACTGATACAATTTTTTTTTTTTAATGTTTATGGGTCTGTGCAAGTTTCCTATTTATTCCTGTTTCAGTTTTGGTAGTTTGTAGGTTTCTAGGAATTTGTTAATTTCTTCCAGGTTGCCCAGTTTGTTGGCATTTAATTTCTCATAGTAGTCTCTTATATATAATAGTTTGTATTTCTGTGGTATTGGTTGTGATCCTTCCTCTTGCATTCATGATTTGATCTATTCGGGTCTTTTCTCTTTTGTTTTTGATAAATCTGGCTAAGGGTTTATCAATCTTATTACTTCTTTTGAAGAACTAGCTCAAGATTTCTTAATCTGTCCTACTCAATTTTTTGTTTGTTTGTTTCTATTTCATTTCTGCTCTAATTTTTATTAATTCCTTTCTTCTGTTGGCTTTAGATTTTATTTGCTGCTCCCTTTCTGGCTACTTTAGGCATAAGGTTAAGTTGTGTATTTGAGACTTTTTTTGGTTCTTGAGTTAGGCCTGTATTAGATTATACTTCCCCGTTAGGACTGCCTTTGCTGCATCCCAAAAGTTTTGGACTGTCATGTATTCATTTTCATTTGCTTCCACATATTTTTTGTACTTCTTCT